CTCCCAGCACCGCCTCTGACATACGCGCGGCATGTCAGAGTACGGACGGGCAGCTGGGGCAGCCAGCTCACCATACCCAGACAGCTCTTAGGTCAGGTATCTCACTCCTATATAAAGAGGGGTGAGCCTGTCTTCCTCAACACGATTTCCATTATTCAACTCAAGTATACTCATACACATACTTACTTATGCATCAGAGGCTCTTCACCGGAAAACCCCCGGTGTGAGAGTTATTTGCAGGTTTTTGGCGTTCTACCAGCGAGGACAAAGGCGATCTATTCCAAACCAGGCCAGAACGCTTACACTTGCATTAAAAATAATATTAAAATACAATGAATGCATCTAAATGATCATAAATAATCAACATAATTATGGTAATCCGGGCATGGATTAAATTAAAATCTATCCAATGCAAAAGATGAAGCATGAAATTTTAACACTCAGAATCACGAAGCATGCGAGCCTGCCACTTAGGCTCAGCACATTCGGAAATCTCTATATAATAATTCCTTACAGAGCAATAAATAAAATATGTATAGGTTTCCCGCTCTTTTTTTCATTTAACGTGGAACAGTTACATTATTCATTAAAGTGTAATAATAATTTAGACTAATTTTCTTTTTCCAAAACGATAGATATATTATATAAATGCGTACAAATGTGCAAAGGAACAACTACCAGCTGAATACAAACAGCCAACAACTGAATAAAGTGGGATGACAAGTCAATAGACCGCCTAGAAACGACCCCAATAGGATAATACTTGGAAACACAACAAAACACAATAACACTAAAATCTCTCAAGAGGAGAATGAGGAAGAAAGAAAACGACCCCAACAGGCTAATTTAAACTAATTACTATGTAATAATTACTACTAATAGTAACTAATTATAAATTTACATTAAATAGTATGTGAAAGTTATATACTTACAACAACAACAACAACAACAACACACCCAGTATATTCCCTTGGTTAGGGTCTGGGGGTCAGTTATACGCAGACCTTGCCCTTGTAATTATATATAAAAAATTGTATTGCAATTTTTTTTTTCTTTTAAGATACTTATTCTACAATAAATATTATTTTTTTTTTGTTTTATCAAACGATTTTTCTCTAACATTTGTTAATTGACATGAGTGTCATAATTAAACTCCTTAAAATTACAAAAATAATTATTATAACAATAATAGAAATAACTGTAATGTTATTCTAACTAATTAATTGCATGGTCCTTCTAAATTACAAAATTAAATTGTCTATTAAAATTAATGTCATCAATATAAAAATTCACACGCGAGTTAAATAATTTATATTTATATTGTATATCTGTATATAATAAAAATTTTAAAATGTAATATATTCATTATTTAATTTTAAATTATAAATATTGCACATAATAAACATATAATATATAAATTTATATTTGTTTCTACGCATGTGCACGTGAACGAATACTTGTGATATATAAGAGGGATACCATAATAAATGACAAAAATTGATTGTACCAACCAATATTATGGAGGAGGAAAAAAAAAAATCTGACAACAAACTCCTTCGCATCTGCGTGGTTATAAATGCTCATATGTTTACCTTAATTACCAGGTTTTATTTCAACTTACCATAGTTAAATTTCAGAGTTAGATTGATCTACCATGGTAGAGTTAAGCCAAGCCACAAAGCAAAGCTCAACATGAAGCCAAGCCACAGAGCCCTTCAATAGCCCAATCAAAAGCCCAAATTGATATATACATATATATATATATATATATATATATATAAAAAAATAAAAAAAACACTAGAAGGACCAGAAAGTAAGAATTAAAAAATATGGTGCTTCAATAAATTTGAAAAACACTCAAATAAATTTGATGCTTCAATATAATGACAAAAAGATTTTTAATTTTCATTTATATTTATTTAATCCTCCCTATATATTATTCCCGAATGCGCTGAGCCTACGTAGCTGCTTCTGGTGCTTCGGAATTCTACTTGGCAAAGAATCATGCTTCGTAATTAGGTTTGGACAAATAATATTGATATATTAATAATTAATAATAATTTAGATTTGGACATTCCATAAATATTATTTAGCTAACTTAAGTATTTTAATATCACTTGTACTAATATAACCCTTTATTTCTTTGTAATTTTACATACTGAGGCACTAAGTGTCTAATATATTCCTGACTTTTGATTTGTTTCCTTTAATTAGCTATTGAATTATAAATGTATTTTAAAAGTTGATAACTTTTGTATTTCTTATCAGTTTTACATATATAATATATCAAATTAATCATCTTTTGATGATCTTCGATTTGACATCCATATTGTATATATGAAATAAATAAATCATGTTTATCTTTATAATAATAAAAAATAATAATTTATTAAAATTCATTAGAAAAATAAAATTATTTCTCAATTGATATATTTATGTTTAATGTAGTTATATGTTGTAAGTTTAAAAGATTATTATAATATAATACATGTAAGTTGCACAAATAAAAATTGTCATACTAAATATATAATAATATATATATTTTTATAACAGATATTTAAATTTTCAACTACTTTTTCTCATTAATTTTAGATTTTAAGAAAAAATTAGCAAGCAACCGTGTAATACACCGGAGTTGTACTAGTTAACAAAAGAAAACCATAAATAAAGTTCCAAAACCAAAGAAGTGAAGAGTGTGACACCCCCACTTCTGTGCCAGTCTGCATTTTGTTTTCATAATCCTCTC